GATGGTCACAAACTGACAGTGTCACCAAGAAGAGAAAGAGGATGACAGAGGCATGACCGGGAGGCGAGAGTCTGGAAAGGCCTGGCTCCTAAAGGACATTTCAGCTGGAACTGAAGTGACGGAGCTCGTCTTTGGAAGCAGTGAGGAACCAGACTTCCAGGCAAAGGACAGAGACGGGGCGGGGGCCTGGAGTCATGGAAGGGGAAGCGGCCCTGGGGGAACAGAGGAGGGGGCTGGAGGGCAGAGAGTCCCAGAGGGGAGCTGGGCGAGGCAGGGCCATTTCCGGCCAGGTAGATCACGGTGAGGCACTTGGTATTATTCCAGGTGCCGAGGGAACCTTAAAAAACAAAGAGCAAGTCCGAGCGTAGGTGTGCGTGCACATGCATGATCTGTGCGCCCACACACACCCACTTTTTCCACTGTCTAGCGATCAGACTGGATAGGAGACAGGCTGGGACCCAAGGTGGTTGGACAACTTACTGTGTTACTCCAGGGAGACTGGCAGTGGGCAAAATATTGCCAGGCTAGGCTGACCCCACAGGCTGGCTGGGGCCTGGTGCTGGCCCTGAGCCCCTTTGCTCTGGTCACAAAGGTGAGTGAAAGCATCCTTGCTGCCTTGGGGACCTGGCAGTCAAGAGCCTTATCCGTAGAGGTGCCGGGGAAATTGAGAAAGTGTAGTGCCATTTCGGGCACCAGTTAATCGGGCAACACTGTGGCTAAATGAAATGCGCAGAAGCCCACGGACCAGCTCTCAGTCCCCACAGGTATCCTACAAAGAAACCGACGTGTGCAAAACAACACATGCTCAATAATTAGATCAGTCTCATGCTCAGGATTATTTATGTCATGTTTGCATAAACAAAAGATTGGAAACAACCTGAATGTTGAGTCATGGGGAACTGGTTAAATAAATTCTGATTTTTCCATACAATGAAATACATACAGCTAAAAACAGGAACAAGGATACGTTTGCATTCTGCATTTTATGTGTGTATGATATAGATATATACATGTGTACACAGTTGTTCTGCAGAATCTCTAGGTAGTTGGTTCCAGGACCCCCTCTGATACCAAAATCCATGGATGCTCAAGTCCTTCATAGAAAATGGCACGTCCTTCCATATACTTTATATCACCTCCACATTATTTAGAATACCTAATACAGTATAATGCTCTGTACACAGTTGTCCTGCTGTATTGTTTCGTATTTTACAGGCACATAAAATAATTTGATCATTCTCATTCCCTAGTACCTAATTCACACATGTGGAACCCAAGGAGATGAAGGACCAATTATATCTGTAAATATTTGCATATTTTATGAAACATTAATATGTATTTATATATAATAAACATTTATCTATGTATAAATATGTGCTCATATATTTATGTACTTTACATATATTTATAAAACATATAATGCATCTAAATTTTATATAATATTAAATTAAGATATTACCTTTTTTTTTTCTCATACCAAGGATTGAACCCAGGGGTGTTAAACCACTAGGCCACATCCCCAGCCCTTCTTATATTTTTATTTAGACACAAGGTCTTGCTAAGTTGTTTAAGGCCTTGCTAAATTGCTGAGGCTGGCTTTGAACTTGCAATCCTCCTGCCTCAGCCTCCCAAACTACTGGGATTATAGGCATGAGCCACCACAGCTGGTTAAGATATTATATTTTTAATATATTCAAATTTCCACAATAACACTGCATAACAATATCAAAGTATATAACCGTGTGAACTAGATGTTACCAAGTGTGTAAAAAATGGTTTAAAAAGTCTCCCACATGTATTTTCAGTATATCCCTAGAAAAGCCTTGAAGATGTGTGTGTGTGTGTGTGTGTGTGTGTGTAAAACAACATGGATTGGCTCTGATGGAGACAGGGACGGGGGACATTTACTCTTCACTGTGTACATTCATAGCATTTGAATTTTGTATCTTGTGAATATATAGCCTATTCAAAATAACTAAACAAAATTTAAATTTTTAACAAATGTATGCAAAGAGGTGCTAAAATGGGGGGGGGGGGGGGCACACAGTGCTGAGAACTCAGAAGGGTACATGGGGGTGGGACCTACCAAGCGCTGATATACTGAGTCTTGAAGGACCAAGATCATGACCCCAAGGGACAAGGGTGCTCCTGTCAGAGGCACGGACATGGCAGCCAACGGAGTCCCTCCAAGGAGACAACAGCAGTGTGTCTCATGGGCTCCCATCAGCCTGCAGGACGAGTTGCTTCCTGGGACGTGATAGGGAGCCTTGAAAGGGGAAACAGGGCCAGCGGCAGGCAGGGGTGAGCTGGAACCTAATTCAAAACTAGGTGAGGCCCTGGATTTTCTGGGGAAGCGATGACACAGAGGGGGAAGATACAGAGAGATTCAGGAGACGGTGTGGGAACTGATTCCATGGGTGGGGTCAAAGGGAACCCAGGACATCACCAACCAACTCCGTTGCAATGCCATTATCTGGAACAGCCGTGAACAAGGTAGAGGTGGTAAGAAAGGAAGAAATGACCACGGGTTCAAGTCTCTAGCTGTGTGTCCTTGGGCAACTCATTCCACGTCTCTGAACCTCAGTTGTCTCATTGGGGCTAGTTAGTATCTATCTTAGAGGATCACATTAGTCACAAAATAAGACACTATGCACCAGCACCTTCCACACTACCTGGCACATAGCAGGTACTTAGAAGCATCCTTGGGCAGTGTAGAGATTCTATGTGGTAGAAACATCTCCATAACAGAAGGCCACGGGTCTATCATCGTCCCTGCACAAGCAACTCAAAGCCCAGGCTTTTGCTAAAAGAATTCACCAGGACTGGTGAAAGGTTGGCTGGTTTCAATTCCAAGCAAACAGCAGCATCTGTAAACCCCAACAGCCAGGCCAGCCTGATAACTGTTTGGGGTTTTTCACTTCCTGCACCGGGTTGAACTTCTAACCATGACTGTGAAGCCGACCAAGACGACCACCCCATATGTACTCGCAGGCCCGACCAAAGGGAGCCCTACCCGGGGATTTTCCAGGAAAGATGAGGCTTAGCACAAAAGTCCACATCTAAACCCGGCCTCTCCATGTTTTCCATATGCAAGGACTACCTTGGCTTGCCTACGAAAGGAGGGCTTAAAAAAGAGAGCCCCCAGTCTACCTCAAAAACATGAACAAAATCGTATTCCTTGGTTAAACTTATTAAACTAAGTCAATTATGCCGTCTATATTTGGTTCTGAAGAGATAACTCGCATTAGTCTTATCAATGAAAAAGCCATGGGGATGCTCTTTTTTCCTGGTTCTGGGGATCAGACTCAGGGCCTTGTGCGCGCTAGTCACTACACTGAGCTCTATCTCCAGTCCTCCGGGGATTTTGAGAAATAAGCACAGAAGTATCCAGAAATGACTCCTCTGGGCCAGCTCCCCCAAGTACTTTTCACAGCCCCAGTGCCGGAGATGGTCAGAACACAAGAACATCCTTGTTCCCCAAATTGGCACTCCCCTGCTCTGGGGTTGCTCTGTGGGTCTGCCCTGCATGGGGGTGGGGGGGTGAGGAGCAATGTTCCAACAGGGCCTTTCTAGTAGATGCAGCTTAACAGGGACCAGTTTTCTACAAAATTGCCCTACAGATGCGTCTATCTGCTCTGCACAGATCCAGTGTAAATAAGGGACTTTCCCACCCGACATAAATGTCCCATCAAAGAGAAAAGACATACTGGCCAGAACCCAGTGGAACTCAATTCAAGACCAAAGGGACAAGGCCACAAAGGCCAGAGGCTTGTTAAAATTGCCAACCTTGAGCAGATGCTCAGGCTCTAACTCATCAGATATCCCATCTCCTCTTGTTAGAAGTTCTGCTTCTTTGCTCACTGATAAAAACTCCAGCTCCCCAGGATGGGCTATTAAATGGCTTAGGGTAGGAAGGAGCCAGCCGTGGCCCTGGGGTTGTTTGAGGGGTGCTTGGAGCTGCTGGGGGGACAAAACACTTGCACTTTTCTGTCCTCAGCACAGCAGGGAGGTTGACAATGCAGTTCAGAGGCTGTTCAGCCCCCTGGAGGGAGTTGGGGGGGACCAGATGAAGAGGGAGGGTGACAGTCTGCTTGTCAACACCAAACCTCTGAACTATTCCTGAAAGGAAATGAGGGAGATACCACCACACGCTTTCAAAACAAACTGGCAGCTTTGGGCCCTTTTCCAATACAAAGTATCCACGCTGCTGAAAAGAGAGTGCCCCATCCCCTAAAAATAAAAGATTATTCCAAATCGGTGCAGAAGTCAACTCCCAGGAGGCCCCACTCAAAGGTTAAATTACAGGGGTTTAACCTATCTTTAGTAACCTATGACATCTCTTAAAATATTCTAATAGTCATACATACACACACACACACACCCCTCCCGCCATCCTTCCTCCTGCCTGGAAGGAAATCAGTCCAGCCGATTGTCACATCTCTAATCTCACACTACACTCACTCACAGTGGAAAGAAACAAATCACCCTAGCAGGGCTGCACAGCTGCTGGAAAGCAGGTACTCTATCGCCCCCACGAAAACCCAGACACGTGTGCGGCCCTTTATTCAGGCCCTTTTATTGCGGGCTGCGCGCTCCCCTCTCCCAGGTGCGTACTCGGCACTACACACACACACTCGGCACTACACACACACACCGGCACTACACACACAGCTGAGGGCAAAGTTTCCTCTCCGGGAGTAGCAACCCAGCTCCTGTTGTCGGCATCCACCTGATTTGCATCCCCCGAACCCACGCACCTCCATTCTCCACGCCACGCACCTGGGGAAGCGCGTTCAGGTGGTGCGGGGAGAAAGGGGAGAAGCGCGCAGGTGGAGAAGGGCAGGCAGTAGGGAGGGGGAGCTCCGAGTGGGACCCGCGATCCCAGATCCCTGGGGCGGTTCAGATGCTGGGTAAGCCTCTGGGATGTGGAAAGGGCAAGAAGAGAGAGGAAGGCATCCGGAATGGCACCGGGAGAAGGCGGGGGGGGGGGGGCCGCTCACCCAGGGTTTTGACAGCGATCTGCCTCGTGAGTGGCGGCGGCAGGTTGATGCACACTAAGTCCACGTCCTGATGCAGCAGCACCTCGTCGATGCGGCTGGTGTAGAAGGGGACGCTCATCTCCTTGGCCAGCTCCTCGGCTTCTTCTTGCGTGCGGCCCCACAGCGCCTTCACCGCGAAGCCCTCCTCTTTGAGCAGCGGGATGATGACACGGGCCGTGAGGCTGGTGCCGAACACGCCCACCCCGGGAAGCATGGCTGCTCAGGTTCGCCCGGTTCTGCTTCTGCTGCGATCGCCAGGCCAACACTCGCGCACACACACCTCTTTAGCCAATCGTGCACCGGGCTCCTGCAGCAGACCGACCACGCCGCGGTGCGCCAGGCGCCCAGCACCCGGCAAGGCGCCCGGGTGCCGACAGCGCGCCGAGCTGCGGGCAGAGCAGGCTCTGGGCTCCTCAGCACGGCGACTGCTGCAGTGTCCCCCACGCAGGGCTCCCGTCCTTCCCGGAGGCCGCGTCTGGGACTCCCCCAGTGCGCCCGAGGCCCCGAAGCCCCGCGGAGCCCGGGCTCAGGCAGCGCTCCCGCTGTGGCGCCGGCCGGCTCTGTGCGCCCCGCCGAGGCCGTTCCATGGCCGGCTCATCCCCGCGTGCGCACCGCCGCAGCCCGGGCCGGTTCTCTCCCGCGTCGCTTCAGCAGCCGGCGGGTCGCACGCACGATTCGACACCCAAAGCACGGACTCGCTCGGCGGCGGGGGCTTCTTTCTCCCCCGCCCTGGTTCCCAATGAAACAATCCAGCGGCCACCGGGAGGCCGCCTACGGAGGCGATCCGGAGCTCGCCGGACGCGGATCTCGAGCTGCAGCGCGGCCACGGCGGCCACCCACCGGCGCCAGCCTTCTCATTCTGCTGCCATGTTCGCTGGAAGCGCGGCTCGGGCGGCCTCGGCCCCAGGCGGGCTCGGGCTCCGGGATCCCGCGGGGCCGAAGGCGGAGTTGGCGAGTTTGGCTGTCAGCGGCCAGGGTTCCTGCACCTCCCTCGCCGCAGCGCCGCGCGCCATTGGCCGCGGCGCCCGCTCCCGCCCCCGCCCGGCTCCGGGTGCGCACTGCGCCGGGCCTGGGAGCGCAGCCTGGCTCCGCCCCGGCCCCGCCTCGCTCGCCTCCAGCCCCTCCGCTTCTCGCCTTTCTTCGCCCTCACCTCCTCCTTCTCGGGGTAGCTGCGCTCCAAGCCCCGCCCCAAGCAAGCAAATAAATCTATCAAAGCAGGGCGCGCCCTAATAGCCGTGGAGGAGAGCAGTGGACGCCCCGGCCCGGGGAGGCCGGGATCCGGCGAGGTGTGAGCAGCGGGTGATTACAACCTCTGCCCCGGGAGCGTTTCCTACGTGCCGGGCACCACGCTAGGAGAGCTTCCAGCATTCGCCCCTTTAATCCTCGCACTAACCCTAAGGTTTTGGAAACCCATTTTACCAGGTGATGAAAATGAGCCCCAGGGAAGCTAAGGGTTTGGATCGAGATGACTCAAGTAAGCAACAGGCCTGGGACTGGAACCCAGACTCCAAGTCCAGGCGCTGCGCCCCGGATTCCTTCTCCTTCTAAAGGATCCCACTCCACGCGCGAGTCAAAACCCCCACCGCCCACCCCGCGTCGCGACACGCGGTCCAGCCGCCTTCCTAGCAGTCTGGCCTGAGTAGCTCAGCTTTTCCCGGCCCAGGGCCCAATTAGACCGTGTGGCGAGGAGAGCCACAGCTGGGCCGGGTCTCCAAACGGGGTAGCCTGTGAGTCTAACGTCCAATTTGCCAAACTGATACGTAGCCCTGGCCAGATGCCACGGCAGTCTCTCCACATCTGCTTCGGCTCCTGTCTCCTCCACCTCTTGAGGCCTTTATGTGCCCACTTTGTCCCCCACCTACCGGGGACCAGGGGGATGCGGGGGCAGGTGGAGACTTGCCCAGCCCCTGGAGCCATAAGGCCCCTGCGCCTCTGATTTCCTACCATATCTTCAGCAGTCACGCAGCTTGCCTCGTAGGTAGTAGGTGCTCAATAAAATGTGGATGCTAGCTTTGCCCCCCTTGGTGCTGGGAGCAGGGCCTAAGGCACAGGGACCTGCCCTCTGACTCGATGTCTCTGGAAAGGTCAGGGGTCATGTCATATTTGTCTCTTGCCTTCAGCATTCAGCTCGGTGTGGCACTCCTGCTTCAACACAGGAGTGAAAAGGTGACATTTGCAAGAATTTAAAGCAATTGTAACAACTGGCAGGGAGGCAGGGCACGGGGAGAAAGGAGGACACCAAAAAAAAACCCTTGTATGTGGCAATGCTGGGAGGAGTCTGACCTCAGGACATTAGAAGAAAGGACACGGAGTGCTTTGGGTGACTGGCAGTGGCCTGAGAAGGGCTGGGGCAGGGGCTGCCATCCGCTGGCTGCTCTTAAGCAGAGGGTTAGTAAAACCAAGACAGGATGGTGCTTGGGCCCTGGGAGCCGGGCTTGTGTGGTCCTGTCCCCCATGCGTCTTGCTCAGAGCCTGGGTTGTGCTGCTTGGCACAGGGGGCATGAGCAGAGCCAGAGTGGCAGGGGTTGACTCCCAGCTCGGCCCTTTATGAGCGGTGACACCTGGAACCACTTCTTCTCCATGCCACGGTTTCATCTGCAAATGGGGGGACGGTACCTACTACAGAGGCCGCTGTGGGTCATCGTGGAGTCCTGAGAACAGCACCTGCGCACATGCTCCACATGAGTGCCTGTGACCTGTATTTTAATTATTTATTACACATAACCTATTTAAATGCCCTATATATGAATGTTATCCTGTATATAAAACCTAACCTACAGAAAAGCTCTGTTATAAATGTAAAATAAATACGGAGAGTGAGCCTATTAACAACATCATCCTTTTTTGTTGTTGTTGTTCTAGGGGTTGAACCTTACCACTGAGGACATCCCCAAACCTTTTTTTTAAATTTAATTTTATTTTTAAAAGGATCTCACTAAGTTACTAAAGACCTCACTAAATTGCTCAGGCTGGTCTTGAACTTGCGATCCTCCTGGCTCAGCCTCCTGAGTGACTGGGATTACGGGCGTGCACCACCACCCCCAGCCCAACATCATTTCTTCACTGTACAAGTGCAGGAGCATCTCGCTAATAAGAGGGGGGTTTTCTCCTGTTCTCTTAAAGGGAACTCTATCCTCACTTCAGTGTGACAGAAAAATAGACCTCCTGTGTTCATAGCATCAAGACAAAATGACCTACCTGGCTGGTGGCACACACTTGTAATCCCAGAGACTGAGGAGGCTGAGGCAGGAGGATGGCAAGTTTTAAACCAGCCTCAGCAACTTAGTGAGACCCTGTCTCAAAATTTAAAACCAAGAAGGCTGCAGAGGGCTGGGGTTGTGGCTCAGTGGTAGAGCGCTTGCCTAGCACGTGCAGGGCCCTGGGTTCGATTCTCAGCACCACATAAAAATAAAAAAATAAAAGGTATTGTGTCCAACCACAATTAAAAAATAAAATATTAAAAAAAAGAAGGCTGCAGAGGTAGCTCAGTGATAAAGTTCCCCTAGGTTCAAACCCTAGTAACACACACACACACACATGTGTGTGTGCACGCGTTCACTCCTACACAAAATGATCCCATTTGTTTCTTATTAAATAAATACTGTCCCTATTTCATAGAAAACAAAACCAAATCCTGGCAGCAACTCAAACGGACAGATCTAAAATAGAATGCTTCACTCCCAGCCCTACCCCCAACCGATCCTCCCTTATCAACAGTGGCATCGCCAGCTCACCAGTTGGCCCAAAGCCTCGACGCTGTCTAGGTCCCCCCGTGTTTCTCATGCATTCTGCAGCCAACCAGCAGCAGATCCTGTGTCTGCTCTGCTTGCGAAGCACATGCAGGGCCTGACCACTTCTCCCTGCCCTGGGAGGTGGACATCCAAGCCACCATCATCCATGTCGGAACTTGAGCTGTCTGGTCTACCTCCTTCTGATATTGCTCCTCACAGTCCCTACCCTCTGCTCAGCAGCCAGGGCGAAGCTTTGAAAGATAAAAGACCCACCAGGATCCAGGCCTACCTACCAGTGAATGCCCTTTACACTTAAGCTCCATAGTCCTTAACATACCTGAGGCCCCACCTGATTTAACCCCTGGCCTGCATATGTCAGTACCACTTAGTGCCACAGGCCCTGCATTCCAGCATGCTGGCCTCCTCCCTGTGCATCGTGTGGCCCCAGGGCCTTTGCACAGCATTTGTGCCCTTTCCTGACACCTCCGGCTCCACACACCCATCCACAGGCCTCCCTGCTTACTGTACTCAGGCCTCTGCTCAGATACCCCTCCTCAGGTTGCCTGTCATTTTGTCTCTTTATCCAGTACTTTATTTTTCCAGAGCTGGGGTCAAACCCAGGGTCTCACACATGCTAGGTGAGCACACTACACTGAGCTCCAGCCCCAGCCCTGTTTTTCATTAGAGCTCCAAGCAGGGCTCCATATTATATCATAGACCTGTTTATCATCTGTTTGATCCCATGGCTCATAAACTCACTGCCATCAGAAGCACTTCTGAGCCACTTCTGAACGCCCGGCACCTAATGCTGTATGTGGCCCCTGCTAGACACTCGATATGTCTCTGCGGAATGAATGTCAGCACATTCTTCTACCAGTCTGTATTGTCATGGGGATGAAGAGCTGACGGTTTGAGTGTGTCCCCCAGAGTTTCACGTGTTGAAATTCAGCCCCCAGGGCTGGGGACATAGCTCAGTTGATAGAGGGCTTGCCTCGCAGCCCCCAGTGTGAGATACTAACAAGTGGAAATTTGCCAGGTACATGCCTGTAATCCCAGCCACGTGGGAGGCTGAGGCAGGAGGCTTGCTATTTGAGGCCAGCCTTAGCAATTTAGTGAGGCCCTACGCAACTTAGCAAGATTCTGTCTCAAATTTTTTAAAAAGGTCTGGGGATGTGACTGGGTGGTAAAGACCCCTCCATTCAATCCCCAGTCCAAAAAAAAAAAAAAAAAGTGGACATTGAATCTCTGATGATGAAAGGTAGGTGATAAGGGTGAGATAAGTCGCCCCATGATTGAATCCTGGTGGCTTTATAAAAAGAAGAGAGACCATTTAGTTTGAGGCACACAAATGACTGTCACCACGGGATGCCCTGCATGGCCTTGGGACTCTGCTAGCAACATGGCCATCCCCAGATGGGTACCCTCCACAACCTTGAAGGAGCTTGGGAGCCAAAATAAGCCTCTTTCTTATATTTACCCCCTCTGTGGTATTGTGCTACTAGCAACAAAAGCGGAGTAATACTGTGAATATTTAAAGTCTTCACAACTGCGCCAAGTGCCACGGGAACGATTTTAGCACTGGAAAGGGAAGGGCCTCGGGCCGCATGTGCCTGGATGCCCCTTGGTGGGGACAGGATGCACCCAAGGAGGGGGCCGCAGGGTAGATTCCGGAGCAGAGGAGGCCTTTGGACTGGGAATGGAGGCCTGTGAGGGTGGGCAGAGAGACGGACAGTACTGGCCGGGAGAAAGGAGAACTTTCTAGACAGGCTAAGTCAGGGTGGAAGGGCCTGTGGAAGGCAGCCAGGACCATCCCAGATGGGGGCTGGGACCTCTGTTGCTCGGCCTCCAGGAGGGAGGGGCTCAGGAGGGCTCCAGACGCAGCCCTGGGGAGACAGCACCCAGTCCCCCAGAGAAGGAAGGGGGCCGGACAGAGGTGGCCGCTGAGGGGATCGCAGGGTGCTCAGGAGAGAGCGGCAGGGGCCTCTCTCAGGCCACGGGAGGACAGTGCCCAGGAGCCGGGGACTTCTCTGGGGGCAGTGGACAAGCCAGGGGTGTCTGGGTCTTGCAGGGCTGGCTTCCTCCTGCCGGGTACCTCGGAGCACGCGTCTGTCTGGAGCCTTGGTGGAGCAGAGCTTTGACGTGGGGTGCTCAGGCAAGGTGGGACTCAGAATGGACTCCTGGGGGCATCCGTGTGAAGCCCCTGGAACCCCTGGCTCCTATAC